GATGCTCCAATTGTTTTGGGATTGCTCCCAAGGCACCTGTAACTGTTGGGACTACCTTTGTTTATTTGCCAAAGTTGTTCTACCTCTATTGGTCTTTTTTCTCTTCTCGAGTTCCTTCTCTTTTATTCTACTGTCTCCAGGTACTGCCACATCCATTATTCAGACTTTTTTTTTGCCTTTCTTATTGGCAGTTGTTAAATCTGGTGTGTTATGTGGCAGAAGTCTTTCTGTTTGAATTCTAAAGTCCCAGACCACTTTAGCTTCTTCATTTTCTATTACTTTCTCTATTTTGTGGTACAACCAGTTCTTGCTTGAAGGCAAATGATATTTATTACTATTATTATTATTTTCTCTGTTGCCTTGCAAGTACACTGAGTGCTTCTGTACCACAGACAAATTCCTTGTGTATTAATCACACGTGGCCAAATAAAGCATTCAACTCAATAACAAAAAGATATTCGAATTTCAGGTTTCTGAATTTCAAATTTCTGACTCTTAAGGTTATGCAGTTATTTGAGAATGATTCAGAAAAACTGTTTCAGAATGTACAGGAGTGTAAACAAACTGTCTGTGAATGATTAAAGCACCCACAACTCAGTGGTGGGATTCAAATATTGTTGCCACCGGTTCGGTGGGCGTGGCTTGGTGGGCGTGCTTTGTTCACACACTTTGCGTGAACATGCACCCCAAACGTGCACTTTGCGCAGGTGCAGAGGCATTCTAACTTGCCTCCTGCAAGCCTGCACGATCCCGGTTGCTTCAGCAGCTGCCGCATGGCACTACTCTGTGCTGCGCAAAGCAGCTGTGCTTCAAATTGAGCAGATAAAGGTGAGTATGGGAGCCCAGGCGGGCGGGTGGGCCCAACAGCAGAACGGCGGAGAGAACCACTTCAGTTTCCGCTACTCATCTCTCCTACCAGCTCACTAGAACCGGGCCAAACCGGTGGAATACCACCACCGCCACAACTGTTTCTAAGGTCAGATGACCAATAGGGCTATAGAATACTCCCTCCAGTGGCTCTAATAAACAGGCAGTTATTCTACATTAGTACTTTCATACATCCCAAAGCACTTTTTCCAGATCACATCTGAAGCATTTACATAGCCCTATTCGTCTTACTACACCCATAATCATGTTATGAGATTTAACTGGTCAATTTTTAAAAGCGTAACATACCTTTTTATATACTCAGACGCAGTCAAACATTTGGTTTTTGTTTCATCCACTTTGAACTATACATCTTCTTCAAAAAGTAGAATTTGTCTCTCAACTTTCAGAGCTTTTGATATGTAATAATGCCGGGCCCTTTTCTGTCTGCTACCAAATCATGCTATTCATAATGATTAGTACTACATTCATACCATTTTAGTTGTTCTCATTGATTTTTTTTAAAAGAAACCTTAATCTTTGGGTAGTTGGAGATTTACATCCATGTGAATCTACTGTAAGGTTTTTAACATGTTTTGCCACAACCATGGAGCAGGACTTTTAATAAGAGAAAGAAGAGAAAGAAAGATCAGTTACAAAGGAGAAAACTCCTTTACTTAGAATTTGTTCTAATCCAAAAAATTGCAACTTGGAAAATTATATTTTAAATATTTTTAAAAATGATGCACTTATTAAAAATCAAAATTAGATTATTGGGATAGAACCCATAATGTTGCTCAGATGATTAGGACCAAGTCTCCCCTAATACATTATATTATTATTCTGGCTAGATTTATAGAAAAGCAGTGACTTGAAATCTGAACTGCTGAAAACTTACGATCTTCATTTTTGAGGTATTGGCAGAGAATTGGATACATGCATTTAGCTTGCCTTGCAGTTACTTAGGACAAAGCATCTTGAAAATCTGACTCTTTGCAACCCCAGGGACCATAGCATGCCAGGCTCCCTTGATTGGGAATAATTATAGTTAAAAGTCTGGATTCTGGAGCATTCAAATAGAGGGATGTTTGTATAAAATAGGTCAGGTGGCTAAGCTAGTTAGCTTCCAATCTATCTTAATGAAACTGCTGTTGTCCGAAACCATTAATTAAAACAAAAATGAGACGGGGGAAGCTAATGTTGGCAATCTGGTTTAGGATTCAGAAGCAATCTTTGAAGGTAATGAAAAATAAACAAGGAAATCTGAAAACAAGACTGAAAGGAAGGGTGTAAAACGAAAAGCTGGTGGAGAGAAAAACATGTTTCGGTTTCAACTATTTAATTTCGATGAATCTCAGTTTTAGTTACTTGAAATTTACAACAAATGAATACAAAGTTTTAAAATCAGAACTTGGGTCTTCTTTGTTTCCAATACAAGAGCATTTGGTATACAAACTTTTGAGAAAAAGTGGTATCAAATTATCAGCTTAATTTATTAAAGGCTATTCCTGATAAATGCAGCTTTGCTTTTTCAACTTGTAGTCTTCTCCAAAAGCTACCTATTTACTCTGGAAATTGAGAAATGAACAACAGAGAGAGTTAAAGTAATAAAAATATTCACATAAATCTGCCTGAAATCGCTCCTTCGGTTTGCTAATAATACAGGGAACAGATCTGCTTGTTTATAACACTTTGGAAGTGAACATCATTTTGTTGAAGACATCCCATTGTTAAGTAGCTTCCATTATTAACAAAAGCAGCTGCATGCATATTGATAGAATATATCAAAGACATTTGCCACATTAAACCTTTTGATTAGTCACATTTTTCACTGAAGCAAATTGAAGAGTAAACTCTGGAGAATCAGACTTGTTAGGGCTAGGCTTTCTAATCAAGTTTTAATTCAGCTTGCACAAACCTCCAAATGGTTTATATGACGTGACCAGAGATTTTCTGAGATTGCTTTTGTGTTTCAGTGCTAAAATGATAACTTGGATTATTTGACTATTTATCTGTGTCAAATATTTTTGCTTTACTTGGTGGAAAATCCCAGCTACTACTTACCTAAAACTGGTATCTGAGAACAAAGTGGACACTGATATTGCACTGCTAATTTTCAGCGTTATGTTATAGAAGATCTTAAGAACTTGAACATCATTTAAAAAGGGGCCAGTGCTTAATATCCTGGGAGTGTATGAGTGTTCATATATTTTTAGTCTTTCTGCTTATGCAGAGCAATCAGAAAGAACAGTCAGGCACCTTAAATTAAATTAATTTCTGATGAGTCTCGCAAATAAGAAAAATCTAAACTATAACAGCATCAAAACAGATAATAGAAAAGAACAACTGAATGTAGCATAAAACTAGGCTTTAAGGGTCTTGGGCAAACAAAATATTTTCCCTTGGCTTTGAAAAGTGGGGAGAAGGTAATTATTGAGTCAATATAGTGATGTCTGCTTCTTTGAGGAAGAAAGTTGTGCCCCCAGTCTTAAAGGTGAGTGTGGGATGCCCTCAATATGCTACTTATGATTCCAAAGATTCTAGACAATTTCCATCCAGCCTCCAACCATCCCCTTTTAGGAAAGGTTGTGGAGAAGGTGATTGGACTTTAGTTCCAGAAGATCTTTGAGGAAGTGGATGATCTGAACCCATTTCAATTGTTTTTCATGCCGGATCACAGTATAGAGACAAACCTGGGTGTTCTTTTTGATGACCTGTGGTGGAGCCAGGATGAGGGTACTGCATTTTTCTTTGTGCTCCTTGATGTCTTTAATAATGTTATGATATCCTTCTGCACTGGCTGCAGGTTGTTTTGGAAAGGGCACCATTTTGTAGTGTTTCTTCTTTCTTTGTGGCTGGTTCCAGATGTTAACATGGAGGAGAGATGAAGCCTACAGCCTTCTACTGATGGGGTGCCACAAGGGTCAAAATTCTTACCCCTTCTGTTTAACACGTACATGGATAACCTTTGGGTCACGTATTATCATAACAATGGTGACATCCAATAATACATCTCAATCCCAGATTGACTAAATGATGCCATTGAAGTCAGGTCCCAGAGTCTAGAGCCTCTGCATGTCTGGATGAGGAGGAACAGATTCAGGTTCAATCTTGACAAGACTGAGTAGCTGCAAATATTTGGAACATCTAGGTCTGAGGATGTTCATTATTGATCTTGCATGGGATTGCGTTTCACCACTCAAGATTGGTATGCAACTTAGTTATACTGCAATTGACAGCTTCTGTTCAAAGAGCAGGTGATAGCTGTGGCCAAGTAGAACTTTGCACAGGTGTACCCAATGCGCCACTGGCAACTTTTCCTAAACCCGAAGGCTTTCAGGCAGTCACTCACACACTAGTCACCTCACAAATAGATTACTGTAATGTGCTCTACTTGGGACCGTCCTTGAAGATCACTTGGAGGTCCAGAATGCAAAAACAACCTGGATAGTGTGGGGCATGCTTCATTATTTCTGTGTGATCACACTGTTCTGTGAGCTGCACTGGTTATCAGTTGGCTTCTGGGAGCCATTCAAGGTGCTGGTTATCATCTATAAAATTCTTCATGGCATAGAGCCTTTTTTTCTTTGAGGAACCACTTCTCTTTGGTTGTTTTTGCCTATCCAGTGTGATCAGGGAGAGTGGGTGGGGTGCTCCATGCCTTATTAATTAAGCAATATCATAACGTAGGTCTCAGAAAGTGTGGCTGCCTTCTGGAATGATACTCATTCAGAGATCCAAATGGCTCTCATTCTGATGATGTTTAGGAAGATGGGCTATACTTCCAGGATTTGGATAGAATTAAGCCCCCGCTGGATGATATGCCTGTGGTTTTACTATATGTTGTTTTGAGAGCATCTCATGATTTCCTTTTATGTTTTGTATTTTTTTTAGTTTTAATTTGTAATCCCCTCAGAGTCAGGAGTTATGTAGCCTATAAATCGTATAAATACTGCTAGTAGTATATATAATTCTGCCACCAAATCCAAATGCTATGCTTCGAGGTATATTTGTGGGAAGAAATTCAGTTGGGTTTGGAGTAGCTTTGAAAGTTAACAAATGTTAAGAATTATGAAGAAGACAGCTGGAGAATGTGTATATTTGTTGATAGATACTCTTTGCTTCTGCTACAGGAGAGAACTGTGAAATGAATTCCCGGTTGGGCCGCTGTACCCCTGGTGTCTGCAAGAATGGTGGCACCTGTGTCAACCTGCTGGTGGGTGGTTTCAAGTGTGACTGCCTTTCTGGAGACTATGAGAAGCCATACTGTCAGATGAACACCCGGAGTTTCCCGGGCCATTCCTTCCTTACTTTTAAAGGGCTGCGCCAACGCTTCCATTTCACCATTGTTCTCACGTAAGTACTTGGCTTGGAGGGGGAAAAGAAGTCCAAGATACAGTAGTTTTGCACTTATATGTACTTTTATACGCGTATATGTACTTATATGTATTTTATACTTACATGTAAAACAATAATAGATATATTATTTTGTCCTTCCTTAAATTTTTCTGACATTCTGTACTATGAGCCAGTAGGGTAACCCTCATAACTATCCCTGTTTTTTAAACATCTATTTCATTTTCAATTTTTTTTAAAAATGAATACAATATGAAGTCTTGAGAAAAATATATTAAACATAAAATATAATTAGAAAAGTATAAATGTTTAATGAATTTTCAAAATATAATGTTACAGAATTAAACATTTGCAAATAGTAAAAATTTGGGGGGGAAATTCCCCCCCTTTTTGAAGCCAAATTAGATGGACTATAATTCCTTGGATAATATACTCACTTTCATTGAAAATAAGTTCTGTAAGTTAAAAAAAAAAGTCCCATTATGTCCAGATGGACCATCTTCTATTAAATGTGTTTATAATTGTGGTCTTAAAAGTTTTGATAAAAAAATCTGTTTAATCTTCTGCGTGTTTTCTTCATGCTGTTGTTTTGGACAATTTAAAAAGACTTGAATATATATCAGGGGAACCACCTTGATCTAGGCCAGGGGGGTTAAACTGGCAACCAGATGCATCACACGCAGGCCACGTCCACCCCAGCTGTGCAAAGGGAAAAAAACATGAAATGTCACGTGACAGCAATGTGACGCCGTGAGTTTGATACTGAGTTCTAGATTCTTACCCACAACAGGAAGTAAGAGTAAGAGTCTAGAGTCTAGAACTGGGTAAGAGTCTAGAACTCAGTGTCAAACTCACGGCGTCACATTGCTGTCACGTGACATTTCACTTTTTTTCCCTTTGCACAGCTGGGGTAGGTGTGGCTTGCGTGTGATGGTGTTGCACTTGTATAGGTCCATCCCTGAAAAAATGAGAACTATATATCTCCCCACTCCCAACAATTGCTGTCTATATTTGATTTGTGGGTATTTATATATATATATGGAGGCTGAGAGCTACTACAGGCATCTGGACCATATAAACTGTGTTGTTTCTTGGATCTGTTTTCTTCAATTTTTCAGACGCGTTGTGCTACCTGTTGAATGGTCAAATGTCTTCCTCTTTCTATTTTAGCAATACTGTCAATCTAGGAAGGAACTTTTACTAGAGGGACACCTAGCAAAATTTTTGAGATTTGTGTATCTCACGTCTCATTCTGTCCTTTCAGTGTAAATGGGCATATAAGTATTGTATTTGTCCTAAGGATGTTATTTGCTTGAGCTCTAATGAGATTATGGAGCCTTCCCCACTTCCTGGCCTTTCCATCCATAATTATTCCTATCCCATCCTTTTTGTTAGCCTAACACAAAGAAGCCAGCCAGCCAAAGCCTTTTTGTGCCCAGCGAAGGGTCAGTGATCTCCAGTTCTGCTCTATATACTTGTCACACACTTTTTCCTCTGGGACTGTGTATGTGTGTATGTGGAGAGCGGGGGATGGGGAGAAACTGCCAAGTGCTGACAGTCTAAAACGAATCTACCCAGGAGAGCAATTCTGTGTGTGGTCACAAGGGAAAGGGAGATCTGCTTTGCTCAGATGGGAACTATATTTTTCAGCTCTGACAGGTTCACCATTCACTGTTTCTATGGGGGGCGGGTGTTGTTATCATTTCCCACCTCCTGCAGAAGGGGTTGTTCCTCCAATAACTCAGCCCCTTGCTGATCTGGGAGCACATTTTGGTTTGAAGAGGAAGAGCCTCCTGCATGGGGCTCTGTGCTGATTTCAGATACCACTGAAAAATAGATCTTGGTAAGAGACAAAACCAAGAATGGTTGATGCCTGATTTGAGAAACATTCTATTCTTGAATACAGGTAGGCCTCAACTTACAACAATTCATTTATTTGACCGTTCGAAATTACAGTGGCACTGAAAAAAGTGACTTATGACCATTTTTCACGCTTATGACTGTGGCAGCAATCACATGGTCACATGATCAAAATTCAGACACTTGGCAACTGATTCATATTTATGACGGTTGCAGTGATTGGCCTTTTACAACCTTCTGATGAGTAAAGTCAAAGTGGAAGACAGATTCACTTAACAGCCATGTTACTAGCTAAACAATTGCAGCGATTCACTTAACAACTGTGGCAAGAAAGGTCAAAAATGGGGCAAAACCCTCTTAACAAATGTTTCACTTAATAACATAAATTTGGGGCTCAACTGTGGTCGTAAATCGAGGATTACCTCTATAGTAATTCACATAGGGCGAGAATACACACACACACACACACACACACAGTTTTACTATTGGATAATCAGTTATGAAGCACATATTTCTCTCTCTTTTTTTTTACCAACCTTATATGTGTTACAAATGTCTCTATTCTTCACATGGTAGATCAGAACAAAATAATCTTTAGCAACCTTAATAAAATAGAATGTGCTGAGCAGGTGTAATTTCACATATTCCACTGAGATACTTAAGAGCCCAAGTATATATGCAGGTATAAGAACAGAATGTGTTTCTGCTCCTAGATGAATAGATGAGTGTGTCTTTGAAATAGCAATAATAAAAGGAAAACTTGCAGCCATGCAGAAATTGGTAGTTGGCAGTTGGCTGCGTTTAATTATAATATGTTTTTTTAAAATACTAAGATAAGTTGCTTTAACTAATCAGCAGCAGCCCTAGATTCCCTAGGCCAGTCCAAATATTAACTGACCATCTTCAATTTTCTGAATGGCAATTTAGGAGAGGGGTTCTACATTTCTTTAGTAGGTACACTGCACCTTTCCTATTTCACAAGGTTGATTTGTGCAGGGCAAATGAAACATTCAGAACTATTAGTAAAGAGCTTATATATTAAATGAACCTGTGGATGTGTAGTTTTATAAAGAGAGCATGGTATATCTTTCTCAATGTATGAATACTGATTATGAAATGTATAAAATAGGTACACTAGAATTCAAAGGTGGTAGAGATTAATGAAGATATATAATTTGTACAGTTTGTGCTTTCTGACTTTTCCGAGCTGGTGCTTATTTTAAAAATTAATTATTACTTAACAAGCATGTTTTAAAAAACATCAGGAGCCTTTAAAGGCTTTCATGCTCAGGAATAATGTATTTCTATAAATTATATGAAATAATCAACTAAATTTATAAATTATCCATTTTTTGTGGATTTAATTCAGTTTAACTACAGTTGATAGGTGGGCATATTGATGTCTCTGAAATGTAAGAGAAGATAAGAAGATGATATAATTCTTGTTATATTTATCAGAAGAGAGAAGATGGAATAAATGGACACCTCTAAGCTTATTTGTTAGGATCCTTTTAATTCCTTTTTCTACCGGATTTCATTTTTGATCTGGTGTCAGGAAGCTATAAGGATTGAAACCAGTAGATGGGTGTTCTTTGTTCTACCAGAAGATTGTAGAAAGCAAAAGCAAAAACAAAAACCACCACTTGGTGCTCTGACTATATAGACAATTAATATCTCAGTGTGCATAGTCAATTAAAGAAAAGATCATCCTAATTATAGTGTTTTTTTCTGAAGATTTATTTCCATTTCTTTAGACTAAATCATAGTGAGCAACCTTTGAGTGCCTGGTGATCAGCTGATTTTGCTCTGGAGAACCAGCAGTTATGTTAAAGTGGACACGCATCAATGTGGAAGGGAAAATCTTTTGCAAACAAATAATAACAAACTCTTCCACCACCAGTAGCGCAGCAGAGAGGGCACCTAAAAATGGCATCATAGCAATCTTAAAGTTGAAATAGATTGGTAGCGGTTGATTTCATAAGTACATGGAAGTTAATGAGTATCTGAATCTAAATGTACATTTTGGAATTTTGTGTTTGCTGATGGCAAAAAAACTGACCACTACATTAAGAAAGTAGACGTTTCACTATACAACACCGACAAGCAGTAGTGTACTGTAAATCAACTGAACATCCCACTGTATTTCCCAAAGTAACCCCTCAGTGCATTTTCTCCTCTTAGCTCATCTAATGAAATAAGGAGTAGAAGAATGTGTGAGGCTACAAGTTAAGATGTGGTGTATGAAGCAGAATCTAGTTTCTAGATTGTTTGGCCAGAGTTTTAATCACTAGCTAGCAAAATCTTCTAATTTAAAACACCGAGCACTTTCCCCCAAGCTGTGAAGGTGTGCTTTTCTTCCAAAACATTTTCTGAATATGATAGGATCAATTTGCCCACTAATCTCTATTTCTGTTATCTTAGTTTCTTGCTGGACTTAAGAGAAATCTTGCTCCTCTTGTCCCATTTCTTAAACTTGACCTGGATGCCATGCTTTCTTGCCTCTTCCTCAAGACTATAAATATATCCTGGGCTATCTTGGAATTTTCTTTAAGGACTATGACTGAGCCTTGATCCTTCTTGTCATTATGTGCCCAGTAACAAGATACAACTCTATAGTCTTGATTTTGGGAGTAGTAACCAAATTCTCATAATTTTCCCAGCATATCACTAACCGTTTGAAATGACCACTTTTGACTTCTCGCTGTTCGCTTCCACAACTTTGAAGACCTTTCCAACGACATTGGAGAAATTATTTCATGCTTATCATTGTCCCTTTCCTTACTCTTGTTATTTATATACAATCACAATGCAACCAATATGAATGAATGGAGGGAATGGGGGGGGGGGGAATGGGGGGTGGAGTTCCAGGATGAGTCACAGCTGAGCCAGCCTTTTGGGCACTCCTTTGTATGAAGAAACTACATGTCTAATCACAAAGGAATGCCTTTGTTAGATCCAGCTTGCTTCCTTAGGTAAACCATGGCACTTAGCAACCACCAGTTCCTCTGAGGCAAGATATCTCCAAAATGCCTACGTAATAAATCGTGTGAATTCCACATGCAATCTGTCTGTATTTGGGGATGTTATATATAATCTCTCTCTCTCATTGTGTGAATGTTTTCAGGAGAAAATTGTTTGTAAACATATGGGGTCCAGTGATAACAGTTCAGGATACAATTTGTGTGGGATTTTTCTAAACTCCTTTTTCATCTTTTCATTTCATAAGGCATTAGAAGCTGTTGCAAGATTTCTGATCAGACAAAAATTCTAATAATTCACATCCCACAAATCACTTTAGTTCTTATGAACATCTTGCAATGGGCATTGGAATGCTTGGAATGAGATTCGTCTTTCTCTTCTTTTGGGGCAGGTTTGCCACTAAGGAACGGGATGGCCTTCTCCTCTACAATGGGCGTTTCAATGAACGGCATGATTTTGTTGCATTGGAAATCGTTCAAGAGCAAGTTCAGCTCACTTTCTCAGCAGGTATGATTGTTCCCCAGTATATCTGTCAATTTATTTTGGTTTATAAATATTCCACCTTAGGTTGTACTTTCTGTGCCTTATTTTTCTAAATCTTTAATAATATTCTTTACTTCCTTCACTCAGCATGCTATAACTTTGGTGCCCTCACCGCTTCTCAGAATCTTTGTAAAACGATGGGGAAATTATTCTTTTATTTCCTCAGATTTTATTTTTAAAACCTGAGTGGTGTTTCATCTTTCCTTCAGGAGAAACCACAAGCACTGTTGCCCCATTCATTCCAGGAGGTGTGAGTGATGGACAGTGGCACACCGTCCACCTGCACTATTATAACAAGGTAAGATTATTTTGCGCTGAACTGCAACAGGCCTAGTGTTGAAGTAACCAGCATAGCAATCATCTTGGGATCTCTGAAGTATTCTGCTCATTTTATGCCAATTTTCTCACTAGTATCCCCTGGGTACCATGTCGTTATCTGTAGATGGAGATGTTGCTGTTAGGGGAAGAGGTGGATATTTTCCATGGCCATGAAACATTCAAGAACTAAAAGAAGCTTTTGACTGTGGAGTCATTGTCAGGATGGCTGCCTCAAAATGTTCGGCTCCTGTAAACTGCCGGATATCCCCAGCTATTAGCATTCATAGCGCTCTAAACACAGAAGCATGGCGGGGAGGGGGCAGGGGAGAGAGAACTGTGGTGGTCCCAGCATGATTGAGTCCAAGAAGCCAATCGCTAAATAGGAGGATGATGACAGGGGGCAAGAAGAGGTGAACAGCTGGTGCAATTGTCACAGCCTGCTTCACTTAATAAGCACGGGCCTGAAAAGGCTGCCCAGGGGAATGGAATGGCATTGATGGCTGGTGGGTGGGAGTGGAATGGAGGGAATGATACTAATCTGGGGGGGGGGGGGGAAGAGCAATAGGGAAGTCCTCCTGTGCTCTATAATTCAATCAGAATCAATCAGAATAGAGCTGGAAGGGATCTTGGAGGTCTTCTAGTCCAACCACTTCCTCATGCAGGAGATGCTACCATTTCAGATAGGTATCTGTACAGGCTTTACTTAAAAACCTCCAGCGATGAAGCACCCACAACTTCTAAAGGCAAGCTGTTCCAGTAGTTAATTGTCCTCGCTGCTAGGAAGTGTCTCCTTAATTCAAGATTGCTTTGCTCCTTGATTAGTTTGCAGCCCTTGTTTCTTGTCCTGGTCTCTGGTGTTTTGGAAAATAAATTGACCCCCTCTTCTTTGTGGCAGCCTCTCAAATACTGGAATACTGCTATCATGTCACCCCTTGTCCTTCTTTTCTCTAGACTAGCCATACCCAAATCCTGTAACTGTTCTCCAGGCCTTTGTTTTCGTTTCCAGGCCTTTAATCATCATCTTAGTTGCTCTTTGCATTTTTTCCAAAGTCTCAACACCTTTTTTGTAATCTAGTATCCAAAACTGGATGCAGTATTCCAGGTGTGGTCTTGCTAAGGATTTATAAAGCGGTACTAATACTTAACCTGATTTTGATTCTGTGCCTCTGTTTATACAACCAAGGATTGTATTAACTTTTTTGGCTGCTGCCGCAAACAGCTGGCTCATGTGTAAGTCATTGTCCACTAAGACTCCAAGGTCCCTCTCACAGTTACTGTTTTTGAGCCAGATTCCTGTGTGCTGTCTCCTAGTTGACCTGGGGAATTACCATTGCTTCTGTACATTTCCATTCACTTTTCCAAAAGTCATCATGTTAATCCAATTCATCCAGGACCCTCTGCTTGAATGTGATGAGTTGAATCTAAAGATCTGTTGAAGGATACAAAAACCTTGATCACAGACCAGCCCACTTGATCTGAGAAAACATCTAAAGAGATCAGTTTAGAGAAGTCCTGAACAAATTATTTGAAGTAGAACTACACATTGAAGCCACAAAGGAGCCATAGATACTCAAAAGCTCATCATGGTTGCTTCAAGGCTCTCCTAAAGCATTATAAATATGCATTTACATGTCCAGAAGACTTTTCTCCTGAGTTCACTAGTTGAGGGAAACAGCAAGCATTTCACCTCATCGGTTATCCTGGCAACTGCCGAAAGAACTTCAGGAAAAGCTTTAAAGCAGCCTTGTGTATTTGTTTGTTGCAATTATTTATATACCCCCATATTCCAAAATTCTGAGGAGTTATGCAGTATCAAATCCCATAAAATATCATAAAATCCACAAACCTTTCACAATAAAACCAAATCAAAATAAGGTTGTACTAAACCTGGCAGCCCATTTCATCATTAAAATTCAGAATGAAAAGTCCCTTAAGAGGATGGTCTTCATTTCTTCCATTGTCTCATCTGAGAGCTAGAGAGCAGGGATACCCCTAAGAGCAAGTTGTTCCATTGTGTTGGGACAAAAAACAGATAAGGTTGTTCTCCAGGTCCATGTCTCTTGCACCTCTCAAGGAATTGGGATTTCAAACATCCACTTCCTAGATGATCACGTCAGACAGGCAAGACCATTTAGAGAAGATAATGTTAAGCAGTTGCATCTTGAAAAAGCAGATCTGGAGCATCCTACTGAATGATTTTCATGACACTGACTTACTTCATAAACATTCAGCTTTAATAATTATGCTTTTGTGGGGTTTGGACAGAGAAACTAATTCAGCTATACATGTTATATTGAACTGAGACTCCTAAATGGTTTCACGACGATGCTCTAACAGGACCTCAGTCTTTCAGAGCTTGAATGAAAATTCTGATGCCAAGATCCAACCTAGTTAACAGGCATTCCTCTCACTTGCTTACAGTGCCTGTTAGGCAAGAACTTCTGCTACACACACAAAAAAGGGATCAGACAATCACTACAACTGTTTGACACTTATTTAGCATTGACATCATGCTAGATAAATGTCATGTTAGACAGCACAATTAGCCATCTGTTGTTGTGAGCTGCATTTATTTGACCGGTGCTTATTTCATTTCCCCATCAAATGCAGAAGTCAAAAGTGGCAATAAAACAGAAGCACATTTTTTTGTGACGAATTAGAGTTTTAGAGGAGTCTGGCTTGGCTCCATGCTCTAATTTGAGAGCACTTTATTTGGGATGGGTGTTGTTCCTCCCATTCCTGGGAATATTTCTGAATATTGTACAGGTGTCAGCACTGATGAGCTGGATTGCCTGTGGGTACTTCACCCAAGCACAGTGCTTGTGCGCCAGCAGACAGCTCTTGCTAACTAATGTGGGAGGGTACGTGCTACCAGTGCCTCCAGCTAGTGCCATAGAGAAATTTCTTCCTCCCCACCTCCCAAATTTTCACCCTTGTTTTAAAAGGATAGGTGCCTGACAAGTTACAATGTAAAAAGCAAAACTGGAATCAAAGGTGCTTACATAGGTTGTTGTCAGTAGCTTGTCAATGAAAAGTTCTTAAGAAGCATGTTGGTGTTGATCTAGAGTCCCATAACTTGGGCTGAAGCATTACAATATTTTGTTACACCAAGTCAAACCTGCATCAGCTCCGGATATTTTTGAAGAAAAAATAATTCTGTGACTCTCCCTTCTACCTTTCATTGTAAGAATAAAATGTGTCCTGTGAGTTATGACCCTACGGATTGTCAGAATATTACTTTCGTTAAAAAAACAGCTTTCATGCAATTTACACGGAAGATAAAGGGATACTCTCTCCCTGGCCTCCTTCCCACAAACTAAAAATATGTTACTTTTGGCTTATCCTGGCTGGAAACCAAGATGTGTTAGCTTTTACTGTTGGTTCTTTGGATAGTTACTGTTTTGTTTTGTTTTTCCTGCACACTGTGGCAGGCAGAGGTGAAGCTGGGGAGAGGTTTGACAAAAGTGGTCTTTTAAGTATCTATAAGAGTGGCTAAGCTTCCAGTATTTGGAGTGCTTGATAAAGTGAGCAAGCTCTGGGTTTCAGTGCCATGTCTGTCAAGTGGTAATAAGGTAGCCCCGCTGTTTCTTTCAGAGCAATAAATACAGCTTATTAAAAACCACTGTGAATCTCTGTCCAAACATGTGAGAGCTTGCTTAATTGTTGAAGGTGCCTTGTCTCTTTATCCTAGCTTTGGAAGCTAGGACACACAGGAAGTGGGGCTCTTTTTCCCCCTTTCTTTGTAATGAGCAGAAGGCTTTCCAATTAGGGCAAAATGTGCTATTTCTACCAACTATTCCTATAATGAAAAGAGTGTGATAGCTCATTGTGTATACCTGTGGCTAACCTTGGCTTTCTTGGCTCTCAGTTTCTCTGTTGCGTTGTGTCAGTAAGTGGATCCAAAGAACAGCCCTCAGTATATATGCTCCATGTCCTTCTAGGCATTGCCTTGAGGCTTATTGGTATGTCTAACTTAGTTTAATGACAGATTGTGTGTGTTTCTGTGCGCATATACGCACTTAAGGGCTTAAGAGCTGTATAAAGATTCACTCCTGTTTTCTTATAGCCAGTGAAAAGAAAAGAAAGCACCCCCTTCTAAATCTAAAATGCAGAATGTCCATGAACTTACAGAGAGATAAGACTTACTAAGACTACATTATAGAAGGATGAAAAACAGTAAAGCATGACTCTACTAGGATACAGTAAAGAAGATTAAGGGTTTTTTCCCTATAGCTCAGTTAAAGTGCTCCCCTCCCGTATGCAAATCTACAGAAAACCATATTGCTGTCCATATGCCAGTCCCTATTGTTTTTGTTGTGGCTTGTAGGTGAAAGATACAGTATATCCAAGTGTTGGTTTTGGTTTTAGTTCTCTCTGGAATATGTTTAGAAAAATTGGAATCCTTGAATACATAGTTGCACTAATGTAAATCTACACACAGGTCAGAAAACTACAGTATGGACAGAAGGTGGCAAAACACACTGGCTCCAGTTAGTAAAGGACTGGCACAAGGCAGTATCCTCTCCCCTTATTCAGTTTATGTGGAGAATACGTATTGGGGGGAGGTGGATTGAAAGAAGATGAGCAGGATTTTAAAATTAGAGGAAGAAATATTAATAACCTATGCTGTGCTGGTGATGCTACTCTGGTAAGTGAAGAGGCAAAGAATTAGCAAGCTCTACTAATGAAAGTGAAGGTGCGGGGTGGAAAAAAAATGGAACTAAGATTAAAAATAAAGAAGACCAAACTCATGACAGCAAGTTCAGACAATGAAGATACTGGTTAGTTTTTGCCTTTGGAGTTTAGCTATCAACGGTAAAGGAACCAATACTCAAGAAAAATGCTGCATACTAACATTTGACAGAGTAGCCCTTGATGGCCTTGAAAAATATTTTCAAATGCCATGATGTTTGAATACTTACAAATATTACAATTGTGCAGGCAATGGCCTCCCTGTGATGCTTCAGGGAAGCAAAAGTT